TAAAAACAACTTTGTGGAAGTTTTCTCTACAAGTAGGTTAAATAAAAAAGGATAAAGCGTTGATCAGTCCCTGAGGAATGCGCCATGCATTCGACTTTATTAAGTTTTGTTGGAGGTGATTGAATGCATATCTGGCTTTTATGTGTCGAACTAGTGCTGCTATCCTCTCAGGCAAGTGTGGTACCAATCCGCCGACCCGGAGGGATGGAAAGCTTGGTGTGGCATGGGCGCGGGGGTCGATTCCACGTGTGCGTTGCAGAGCGCCTCCGACCTCTGCGCCACTAGCGCCTTTTTAGTTTTACAAAGAAGTAAGCGAAAAATACAAACCTTTTGATTGGCTAATTTTTAAACCAATTTTTGACGATACGCTCTATTTTCTGCGTCTGTCGTACGAAAAAGGCGATGAAGTGTCAAGTCGCAACAGTACGGCTCCAACCGCCAGGCACAGGGAAATAGATGCCACTCATTAATAATGTATATGAATTCATTAATTTCAAAAGTAAAATTAGGTTCTATTTTTCTGTTCATGGAAGCCGTCTTGTTGATTTTTATGTAATGTTAAATGGGTGTACAGCGCGTGGTTAGAAGAGCCCTGTAATATACCATGCACCTCTGATCTATTCTTCAGCGATGCTACCAGTCTGTTTAGGAGGATAGCTTCACCACAAGTGTCAGTGTAAACGCTAGATATGCATTCGATCACATCTACGATGAAACAAATCGATTCGAATGCATAGTGCATCACAAGCTTGATCGTTGAACCCTTTACCAATCCATGCTTTATGCTTGACATTTTCATACAAGTTCATAAGTATGACACTTTGCATGAGCCTGGTTAGCCTTGTTAGTTTAAAAAGGTGACTACTTGGTACTTAAACGGTCCGTCCTTACTGATTGTGCGAGCTCCAGCATAATCACCACTTTTCGGAGACTTGCTGGTTAAGCTATTGTAGTTCCCTGAGGTCAGAGTGGCCAAAATCTGCCCCAGGTCTTCACCACCACGTGCAGTCGCAGCCCTTGTCGATCAGAGGAAGATCCGCCACTATGAGACTAGTTTGATACCAGGACGGTGGTGGATCTTGGTATCGATTTATTCTTAGCTAGGTTTCCTGATGGAAACGCCGGACTCCTTCTCAGTTTGGGAGACCCTGCCAGGAAAACGAATGGCCCCGCTATACATCGCAGTCCGACACCCAGGAACACCTCCTAGCCACGATGAGGCGGTAAACCGTTAGGAGGACACTTAACAATACAAGTGTGATAACAAGATGCCATGGAGGAAAGGGAAATTCAGAGTTGGAAAAAACCGAGAGTCACCTTAAATAAACTTAAAGAAAATTTGAAAGAAACTATAAAGGATCCCCTTGGAATGGACGGCTATAACTCTTTACTACATAGTATCTGGATGGATGCTGAGACACTCGCAAAGCATCGGAGCGCAGGTGTCAGCAGGTGTGAACGAATGCGCTATTACTTTTTCCGGAGGATAACGCGTTCTCCACCACACCATGCGACTACTTTGTTCCGCATGCCTTTCAGCCGCATTTTCTATCTACCAGTGCCATCGGCAATCACCTGGCAACGGAATTGATCTGGGGAGCACAAATCATCATTGAACCCAGTTACGCTATGGCTATATTTGAAACCACAATAATAACTTTTTATTTACTTTTTACTACAGCTTTTCACGTTACGGTATAATGTGAAATACAACCTACAAAATACTGCGAAAATGGGTGGTTGCACCGCAAACAAGATTCACATAATACCCTGCCGGTCCAGAGTTTTGCAAATATCTCAGCTTCATTATGGTTGTATTTTATATAATACTCTACCGTGAAAAATTGTTCTATGCAGCAAATAAAAAGCTAACTTTATCAGAATAGACATCAAAAAAGCTCTAGCCTATTTCCGTAGGATTCCTGATGCCACATTTATAGGAAGAACTTCGAAACACACTGTCCATAGCTCATCATTGCTTAACTTATCAGTGAAACCATACATTGATAACTAAATAACTTTGAGGTGAAATAAAAGTTGGTTCACGGAATATTAGAATCACTGTAACCGGAGCCAAGTAGGCAATTTAGTTACCGATTTCTATCAAGGTAACTTTTTTGAATGGTTTCTCCTCACTTTGAACAGTTCTTAAATTCTTGAATCCTTTAATGAAAAGTAATGACATAGGGGAAAAAATGCGAGTGCGCTCCTCTTCAAAAACAGACAACTATTAGTAAAGCGAAACCGCAGAACATGATAAAAACTACAATCACTCCAAAAAAAAGAAAAGAAATAGAAATATTGGAAGCCATGAAAAATTGATTTCATCGCTCTTGGAAGCTAAGCCATCTATTATTTAGGTGGAATTATTAGGGTACCTATAAGAATAGCGTAAAAGTAGGACTTTGCCGTTGTCACTATTTTTGTCCAATTTTTCTACAGCTTCAGCTGTTTGACCTACTTTCGTTGTAGTAATTGACATTTTTCCTAACATTGAAAAAGATGACGTTCGCAAAGGATTTAAAGGGAACTAATATGCTCAATTGATTAAAGTTGTTTCTCGAACTCGAATACAAATATTTTTCAATACACGCTACTAAAAGTCAAGTGTAGAAGTCTCATTTGTTTTCTCTAAACAAGCGGCACCAAAGAGTAAACAAGAAATCACAAAGACAAGCGATCTGCTTGACTGGTTCAAAGGTGGACGTGAGATTTCTAAAACGACAACTTTGTTTCCCGATGGTCGAAAAATCACGGAGACACTCTGAGAGACCGGAATTCAGTGAACGGGTCACCGTCGATGAGATGTCGGTCCAGAGTTGTGCGATTGCAATCGCTGGAGATTCGCTTGACGATAGTCGCGACAGCTTGAGCTCGGATGCCCAACTACTCTAAACAAAGCACTGTTCATGCTCGATAAAATAATCTTTTCTGGTGAAAAAAAATAGCACAGAATGATTAGTAGCTTTGGAAGCCTCAACAAAAGAATGTCGCACATTCTCAGTGGTGAACGCAGCAATCTATTTCCTTAACTGACTGCTCAGATGAATCATGCCGGTTCCAAAATTTTATCCAGTTAACAGGTTTGCTACTGTCTTTGCATCTGTAGTTCCGGTGCGCTCGTGCGAGAGTGTTCGCATTTGGTCACAACAGATAGTAGTCAGTCTCTGCGAATTTTATGGATCTTTACCAGTTTGCGAGTAACTTTTCCTGCTTTAGTGGCTACAATTCCTGGCATTTATTTACTTCCCGCTAGATTTCGTTATTTAAATATTGCATTGCTCCTTAGTTTGAGCTAAGAAAGTGCAATATTGTTTTTTCTTAACTAACTTTTTCTTTGGCTGTTCAACCAAGTGTAAGAAATCTTTGACACTTAAAAGTTATTCCTTCGCTAATGTAACTTATTTATTGATTAAAATAATTTTAGCATGTCCGCGATACATATGATATTGAAGAAATACTGTAAAACATAGTAAAATACTGGCAACTTCGTTTAGATTAATCTTTAAAAGCGCATCTGCAACGACGCATTGATTTCAGTACGCACGCGCAGGGAGAGAGAAGACAAAGCGGACAGCGTGTATTGATTTCAATACTCGCCTTAGCAGTGAAAAATAGGCATTATCCCACGTGACCGTTTCCATCCTTCTTTTGCAGCATGGAGCCGCTTTGCAACACTTTTTGCCACCGCAGTTGTTGTACCATGCGCCAGTTACGGCAGGCTTACAAGCATAGCTTACAATCGAGTAAAAAATGTTTCAGGACGGGTTTGTTGTTTCCACAACAAAGAGTGTTTTTAATGAGAAACGTGCAAAAGTTTTCACTTGTAAGAATATCACAGATAAGAAGGATACTTTTATTGCACAAATACAATGGCACCATTCCCAAGCACTTGATCTCACTTTTTCCAGGCTTGCAGTGTGAACGGAGAATGATGGACGAGGTGGATTGATTCCAATGCACATCGAAAAATTGACCGTCGTTAAATACGCCTGTCACAACAAACGCCAATTCATTGCGATCGTGGTAAAACACCCCAAACAACTTCGAAGAGCAAAACATACGATGTGAACTGACAATATTGTGACGTAGCAATTCCCTCAACCGACTTGTTTTAACCTCGGCATTGATTGATAATTCGATATTTTTCTTGAATAAGTTCGTGTCTGCTTATTAAAAAAAAACATCGAATATTGTGACGCTTTGACAAGTTGACTTATATCTTTACTCTCTCAAATTTATCTCACTCTATCCTCTATTATTATACTGTTAATTCATCATAAATTTTATAACTTTATTTGTCTTAAAATTATTCATTTTATTGCGGAAAACTTTTTGTAAGAAATTCCTAACAACTGTAAAGTGGGTGCAGTGACCATTTGCTCATAATGCACGCGTGAAAAGTGATCACGTACGACGATACCATTTACGATAACCAAGAAGGGTGAAGAAGTACTAGGGCGATATAGATTAGTGCTAGAAAATTAAAATTATAATTATAACAAAGGACCCGCATGGTGCGGTGGTGAACGCATTAGCCCCCGGGAAGGGTAATAGCGCGTTCGTTCCCGACCGCAGACACCTGCGGTCCGGAGTTTTGCAAATATCTCAGCATTACGGAAGTTATTGGGAAATAGTCTGTCTGTGTAGAACTTTTTATTGCACGAATACACTCTCCATTTCGTAGTCCCGCCCACCTCCCATACATTGTCAAAAAAGAGTAGAGTTCCCACGCGTCAAACAAATACTGTTCAGAAGACAATTAGAAACTATAACACCAAATCGTTTTTTATTGTATATGGTATCAAACTGATTCCACTCATTAGAAAATTCCCTTGAAGAACATGAAATTGCATAGGATAAGGTAGGTGGCATCAGAATACAATAGAACACTGTATGACAGCGGACCTAGAAGGAAAACAAGTCATGAATCATTATGATCGCCACACTATCCAGTAAAAACTTTTGGCGAATATGTGAGAATTTAATGTAATATTTGTTTAAAGGTCTACTAAACCACTGATATTTGGGTGCTGCTGATGAGTGTAACAGCCTAGCTGTCGAATGGTTGCATCGAATTCGTCAATTGCTCCCGGTTGACAATGCTTTCGGAGGTAAGGAACAAGGCATTCACGATATTCCTTCACTCCATGACACTTGCGCTGAAATGAAAGTGCCCACATTTTTCGTTTGCCTACGAAAATTTATAAAACGGATATACCATCAATTGGCACAAAATGAACAACACATAAGTTTTATGGTAATAAAGAAGGTAAAGAAACAGTGCAAATAATTAAGAAAAGCTCTCAGCGTTGATCAATCCCTCTATATCCATGGTTAACTAGCGGGTTAAGAAAAAAGAATAAGCTGTCGTTGATCAATCTTTGAGGGACGCCCCATACACTTGACTTCATTAAGCGTTGCTTAGAGGTGATTGAATGCGTATCTGGCCTTCACAATGACTCGCGGTGGCCTACCAATGTATCGATCCAGTGCTGCTATCCTCCCAGACAAGTCTGGTGCCAACTCGCAGACCCTGAAGGGATGGAAGGGTTGGTGGGCCATGGGTGCGGGAGTCGTTTCCACGTGTGTTGCAGGGCGCCTCCGACCACTGTTCCACACGCGTCTTTACGAGCTTATAGCTCTTCGGAGTAGGTGTAGAGGAAGCAACACGCCTTCAAGGCATATGTGCAGCGCGGTTCAACCTGCCTTTGATTTCTAACGAAATGAATATGTTATTTAAAAAGAGGCGATTAGGCGAAATCAGTGGCAACGATTGAAATACCACCGAACCGTCTGAAACGTCAGCTGATTTTTCGCAGCTGCTTGCATGAACGCTTATGCAGGAAGTAAAATTGCAACTGCAGAGATGGTGATTGCGTGAGCCTGGTTACGGTGTATCTGATCACTTCTAAAGCGTGTAGGAAGAATATATTGCCAAAAGGACTGGTATAGAACAGCACTTAGACGGTATGCGTCAAGTTAAGCAGAGTAGTGCACTAAGCAAGTATAGAATGCGGACCCATAATGGGAAAGATTTCGTAGTGCAATTCACCATCTTTGCACAGGATTGTAATACTTCAGCGCGTTGAGGTCTCAAAGCATTCTGGATCAGCAAAAAATTTCCAAGAATCCAAAAACAAACCGCATTGAGAAGTTACTCGCTGCCAGACATAATCTTACACACTATCTTAGACTGATATTTTAATGTGAGAGAGACTCATTACATCCATGTGACTCTGCGCGGTTGAGTTTCACGTAGAACACTCACTGGAAGACTCGTGTAGAATAGACGAAGGTTTTTTTTTCAATGCTATTGAAATGTAGGTATCGTCGCTTTTCTATCGAGGTTTTGGAGGTGTTTGGATGACTAGGTTGTAGTTAATTTGACTATTCCAGGCCCTAAAGAAGGAGAAATCTACCGAAACTTTTGCTGCTGTTAACAATAGGTGAACAACCTTGTGTGTGCCCATCCAGAAAGCAGCGAGCTATTGATCAATGCTGAATTAAATAGAGAGTTGGTTTTGAAAATTTTCGATTTGGTTTTGAAAATCTTTTTTTGCATTTGATGCACAATTTCTCTATTTTAAACTTTAAAATTCACCCTCCACACCTCGTCTTTTCCTGGAATAGCCTCGCCAAGGATATGTTGTCGACAATTCCCACGACCTAATGCTTCTTGCTCCATTATGCAGTCGTAGTGCTTCATGAAACGCTGAATGTTTTTCGGAGAGCAAACGTAACCAAGATGATCTTGCGCGAAACGAACCTAAACAAAAGGTTGAAAATTTAATCATGTCAGCAGAATGAGGGTAAATAGGACAACTCGTCCAGATGACGCTGACAGTGTTTGTTCACTGAGGTTTCGCAACGAATTATGACAAAATCAACGATCACACGCAGGTATTTTTCCGAACAGTTTCTAAATTACAACCACAAGGACGCTGAGTTATGAGCAAGACTCGGAACCTCAGATGGACTACATACCAGTGATTACCCTTCCAGAGGTTTTCCTTGACGTGTGATTAACTAATAACACCAGTAGAGTGAAAAATTAACTGAGAGAAACGTGAAGCAATGGTCTCGGTTGATATGGTCGATAGTATGTGTGCCCCAGGATTCGTACCTCAACATACCGTCACCAATACGTTGACGACATTCATGGTACAAATGCTATTTCGCTATCAATACTGAAAGTAAAACTTAAGATTTTATACAAATTTCGTTATGTGACTTAACAAAATCGCAAACATTTTTATGTCTCTACAATGCTTGAATTCCACTTTATTTCCTTCAGATAACCCATACCTGAAAAGCAAACAGTTACTAAATATTTTATCTTCAATAAACCACGGACCAAAATTAATGCAGTTCTGCAAAGAAATTCCTGTTTCATGTACTCATTACAAGTGCGCGACATCAATAGCTCAACGTCGATACCCTTCCGGACCTTGTGCGCGACTGGTTAGCAACGCCGAGGAAATGAGGTTATTTAGCACTCGTAATATGTGAAAAATGTTAGTAGAAAAGTTTCTTTATATGAAAAAAGACAATAAAAATAACCTCAAAGCTATCTACCCACCAACTCGTCCATTACACATGGTTCAAGATGATTCATATTTGAACACAGAAGGGTATCCGCATAACTGTCACAAAGCTCCAACAAATCCACGCGTGAATACTTGTACAATGGAAATGTGATCTTAAAAATGTAAGTAGAGTTGTGCCTTAAAGATGTCTTATATTGATGTCTAACAGAACTCTAGAAAAATCAAAAATATCTCTTGTTGCGCCACTCATCAACGATATCAGTCATGTTGCTCTTTCTTCACTGCTTTCATCTTAACTAACTTTGGTTTGACAGTTCGTACTGATGTGCTGCAGCTTTGGTATTCCATAACTATTGGCTTTTTGTATACATACTTTTTTATTTTTTTATCTGTGTAAAATAAATTATAATGAAAATGTCTCGGACTAAGCAGTCTAACGGGTTTTACCCAAACGGAATATCTATAAATTATACCTGAGCCAAACGTGGCCATACTGCTCGCAATGCTACCCATGTACGCATCAGTGGAACTGTGCATAACCTAGCCTAAAATCATGTGCTTAAACAAAACGCAGTTAAAATTCTGTATTTTCCTGGATTGGGCTTGACTTGTGTTTCAAGCCTCAATGTTCACAATAATATTGACGTATTTTTGGAGTCGAAAATTTATAAATACGCTGAAAACTAGAAAATAAAAAGTCCTTGGTGACAAAAGCAAGCAATTTTCTAGCGCATTATATTCGTCACCATTTCTATCGATCAAACTGACCTTATTGCGCATTGTTACCGTACAATTGCTCGAAATCGTATAGTTAAAGAGTGGATCGGAAATCTCGAAGCTATCCATTCTTTCGTTTCGGTGACTAGGTGATTCGAGAAGACTTGCTGAATTGAGAGACTGCGATTCATCAATTTCGCTTTGCTCACTTGTGTTCAGTAGTCCTAACTTCTTAGCTGTCTCAGCATTACGATTTATGAAAGAAATTAGCTCTCCAGAATTTTGAACGGTAACGTCATCTACACTTTGAAGTACGTGTAGCTTCTCTATAAAATCTTCGCCGTTTGATTCTTCCTCTTCACCTTGGTCACTTGATCGTTCTTCTTTGCCGTGGTCAAACTTGAATAAGCTTCGAGTCGTTGGTGGAAGTTGGGTTGTTGTTGTTGCACCTGAAGACGACTTTTGATGGTTAGCAATGGAGCTAATCAACTCTGCTGACGATATTGAGTTCTCAACTGCAAATGAGCTCTCTGCCGCAATATCTGAAATATAATACTGAAAAATGAGATTAGGTTAATGAAATTGATGTAAAATTCAGATATTCCTTCAAACAGCCAGAAATATCTTTTCTTGTGGAACACAGAAAATCTCTTGCAATTTTTTTCAAACCTAACCTCATTAGACCTCGCTATTAATAATCAATACCTTCCTAGATTGTTAAGCTAATACGAGGTTGATAAAGGTGTTAATTTAGCCAACATTTCGATATCTTCGCCTTATTCTGAGTAGATAGCCTGAGTTGATGTATACAGTTCTTCGTATTCTCGGTGTGGTATCCTCGTCGTCATATGGAGAATGCTCCTCTTCAGTGCAGCGCTGCCCCAATGAGGCAACCTCAACCGGCAGCCCTTTTGAGGGCGGTTGTAGTTGGCAGTGACTAACCGTTGTTAATAGTTTCTCCTTCATTGGGTAATCCATTCTGCACTAGTCGATAGTATGCTAGCTAGCATAGCTTTCACAGAGATTAGCGAAACAATATTTTTTACAAATACAACAAACAATATAATCATTCGAACGGTGCTCCATTGAAAAGATCCGAGTCGATGCGACGACGAAGATACCACATCGAGTGCACGGTGTCTGTGGACATCGACTCGGATCATCTGCTCTGAGGAAGAGTAAGCCGTCGAAGCGTTAGCCGAATAAACATCTTTTGCAATTGTTTGTCATGGCTTTCTTTTTTCTTATTTATCCATGTCACTAGTAAGATTCCAATTGTTTCGCTTGGTATGCTTCTACAGTGGTATATTTCACTCAAAAAGCTTAGAATTGGAGGAGTTTTGGCAGTGACTAGCAAAAAGCCGTAAGATTTTGTTAGGATTTCATTTAGTGTCTCATTCACTGAATGGGTTTCTTTTTTCTACTCTTTCAACTCGCATTTCTCGCACTTGCGCGATTGTGTTTACCGTTGAGTAGTGTGTTCCTTTCGTGTTTTCTCCATTTAAAAAAGCCTACTACGCTTGAAATGATTCATGACCCGCTCTATTTCTTTAGCAGTAGAGAGAAACTGTTGACTAGGCTAAAAAAAGCTGTCAACGATGCGCCATTTCGTACAGCCTGAGGCAAAATTTTTAACTTTCACAATGTAATCCACATCTAAGGTCTCTTTGAAGTGAAAACATTGCATTGAGAAAGCAAACCATCCGAAATGTTGCATCCATATCCTCTCAGCATGGTGACAACGCTGTTGTACGATTCTAATCCACACACCTGCTCCAGATCAGCTTTCATGCAGCTAGAAGCAATTCATTATTTACCTTAACCCTTAAATGTGTCAGAGCATTTCTGCTTGTGAATTCCTATATCGTCACAATAGGCATTCGCTAACTTTTCTTTTGCACTTCATGAAACTTTGCTACTTCTCGGTTAGGCGGATAGGAGTACGGTGATAATGGTCAGAATAGGGTTTCTATACTGGGCTTCTTAATAAAATATTTCTTGCAGGAACACACTCTGTGATAACGAGGATAACTTGCGAGTAATTCTAAAATTAATAAGTGAAGAAGATAGACATGTTGTTTTTGGCACAGTCTGTGAGGATAGACAGGATGAGCACGAGGTCACGGCTGCATCTATCTTTTTACAGGCTGTCTAAATCTGAAAGACTCCTTTGAATATCTACAGCTATAATGAAAATGCGACAGCATCTAAAATCCCAGTTGAGGACTTTATAATGCTAGCTATGAAGATGAGCGCGTGTGGTGTAGTGGTTGGAGGCAGAACTGCGACACACACATGGAATCGATCCTCGCACCTATGGCCCAGCAAGCCTTCAAACCCTCCGGGGTAAGCAAATTGGTATCAGACTTGTCTGGGAGAATAGCAGCACTGACTCGATACACCGGCCGCCACCGTGAGTTATTGTAAAATATGCACTTAATCACCTGCAACGAAGGGGTCGAATGTCGAATGAAGTCGAATGCATGGCGCATCCCTCAGGGTTAAATCAAAGTCGACAGCTTTATCCTTTTTATCGTTTTATGAGGATAAAGCAAAGCCTTCTCTTTTTTCTAAATACACTAAGACAGTTTATAACAAAAAAGATGTCAACGGGATGGGGATGATGTTTCCATCAACATGGGCTTGACTGTGATTCACGCTGCATCTGCTACTACGTGTAGCGTGGAGAAGAGCCTGCTGAGGTAATCATGCCTTACACATGGTATTCAACTCCAGAATTTGATTTATGAAAACGAATAACCGGCCACAAACCGGCGAAAACCGTGATTCCATAATAGCGATCTATACCAAGTACTACATACCATAGTGAAGTCATCATCATTCTGTAGTTTTTCGAAACCGAGGTTGATATTTGCACGTGGTTTTTGAACGAGATTATACAATCCTAACCCTTTTATTTACTGCCTTTTTTTTAATGGCAGAGTATGTTGCGGAATATAACTCGTATATAATGCTGAGATATTTGAAAAACTCCGGACCGCAGGTGTATGGGGAACGAACGCGCTATTGTCCTTTCCGGGGAGTAGCACACTTCACCACCACACCATCCGGGTCCTTCGTTTTGCCTGTTTCTCAGCTAGTTCTATTGAACTTTTGCCATCAGCAATTACCCGTTATATACGAGATTATACAGTAAAACCTTTTGTACAAGATCCTTCTACCATAAAAGAAGATAGTCGTGATTCCTGAGAAATGAGATTCAATGTTCGAAAAATGGTTTCGACTCACTCAACCGCCTATTGGAAAGTAGTTTGGTTTGACAATGTGCAATACGAATACGAAAACTTCGTAAAATATCTTCATGATTGCACCGTAGAAGGCAAACCATTGAAAGTGACCAAGACAGATTTTGCAAAAAGCTACCAAATCTGCACGTTCTCTTTGCAGAAATTCTTGTATACTGAAGACTAACGTTTAATCTGCAAATAGGATCTTGGAGAAAAAAGCTGCACAAACTTCTTAAGTTACAAAGGTCAAAAAGAGCATTTAAAACACCTTCCAGAGTTTCTCCACCCTCTAGGATTTTATGACGATGATCAATGATTTGCGACATCTCAATAAAACAGTCATTGCATCTAGAATGGCAGCAGTAGTAAGGTGCATCCACAACTTGGACCTATTTGACGAACTGCAAGAACCTAGTCAACGGAATCGTACAATATGGAAAGGCCTGTAATGCATCGCAAACTGCTTCCGTCGTTGAGTTTCATCTGGAACCCCCATTTCGGCCTCAGCAAAATGAACAGAAAAACATTGGACGAATGATAAAAAATTCAAACAGCCAGGACTTCTAAACACGATTTACGATGGATCACATCCACGTGCAAACGAACGTCATTCAAGAGAACATCTGCAGATTAGAAAACTCTAATATACATTTTACTTTATTCACCTTAATCACCCATTGATTCAGATAAGACGAATGCGGTAATGGAACAATTGGATAACTGGAGACTTCGAATTCAGTACACACAAATCTTCGTTGACGTTTTAACCTCACAAATAGAGTTCCACAAATATAAGACAGCGTCGTTACTGACGAAAATAGACGGGTCCAAGATAATCTCGGTAAAATAATTTGTTGCCAGATCAAGAACGTTATGAGAAAAGTATACGGGAATAACACAGAAATCAAGTTGAATGGTCAACAGATACACTATCTCTGCGTGCTGATGACATCGTTATTATGACACAGCATTAAACGCAAGACCGTTGGTCGATTATTATAATCTATGTGGAAGGATCGCTTCTTCGCCTAACATGAAAAAGCTGTGTCTGCAAGGAAAAATTTGCTCCTAACTTGAAGTTAGGGCGCGTGTGGAGCAGTGGTCGGAGACGCTCTGCAACACACACAGGGAACTGATCGCCGCGCCCATGGCCCACTAGGCCTCCCATCCCTCCGGGGTGGGTAAATTGATACCAGACTTGCCTGGGAGGATAGCAGCGCTGGCTCGATACACGGTAGGCCACTTCGAGTCATTGTAAAGGCCAGATATGCATTCAACCACCTACAAACGATGCTTAGTGAAATCGAATGCATGGAGCACCCTCAGAGATTAAACAAAGCCGAGAGCTTCATCTTTTGTTTTTAATTTTAACTGAGTTAAGAGTGAAATTTTTAAAGCTTGAATTGAACAACTTCACGTTTCTTCCTGTCTTACATGCAACTCGGAATTACCCTTGATTAGTACAACCACGATAAATGGAAACTTTAGTGAAACCTGCTCCAGTTATTCAACATACTTGGTTGAAGATGCCCATTTCTCTTCCTGATAAAGAAAATTAACCAGAATTATCTAAAAATACCTTAGGAAGTCTTCGTGTCCCTCGCATTTGTCGTCATTTATTTTCACGGTAGTGTTAAGCAATGCAATACAGTCCTAAAAATAACACTTCCTACTGATACAAAAGTCAAGAAACAGTACTAAGCACACGACTATTTAATAGATTAGGGATAATGTTAACCTGCTATTTGTTACCTTCTATAATTTTTAAAGGCAGGGTATTATGTTGAGATGGCAACGCTGAGATGTTCTCAAAACTTGGACCTCAGGCCTGATCGAACCACCATTACCTTCTCCAGATGTTTGTGTATTACCCATTGCACCACTGAGGCTCCTGCTTTGCACTTTTCTCAGCTAGTTTTTTCAGTCTAATGTCAGTTAGATTAGATATACTTTTTAACCTTGTCAGTTACTGATATCTGCTGATTTGCGAATATGGCACCAACCATTTTCTCAATTAGAAAAATTTTAATTGTTCCTGGAAAGTTAAGCAACATTTATTTTATCATTAAGGTAGTTTTAGAACACCATACTGAAGTGCCCTAACAGTTAACAACTTCTGTTCACAAAAGATTCTGAACTGTCGACGCGAATTTTTGAAAACAAAAGATCTCCCTAAATTTTACATTAGTTAGTTGGCCTAAATCTGTATAGACCTATAGCCTAGGCTTGAGTATCTAACGGCTAATTTATAGGAAATATTGAACATGAAAAACATATTACAAATGTTCTTACTTTTCGGTCAATAAGTTTGTTTTGAATGCAGTTGTAGTCAATATCGAAATCCAGCATTTCCTTCAGCTGACATGTAGCCGAAAATTGTTCTTTGAGGAAGACGAGCAACTGGAAAAACACTTCAGTTCAAACATTCATACACATCTAATTTGGCACTAATATGTTTTCCAATTTTTGTTAGCAACTGTAAAAAAATTAAAATAGGTCACCGACAAGTAGCTAGGGTCTATATAGACAATTTCTGATCGACAAACGAACCACCGTTGTAAATAAAATCTCGCAAATTCCGTTCACGAATCTCACACATGTGAGGAATCTCGAGCAGGTTGGTCGCAAGGCCACGTGGAGCATTTCCAAATGACGGAAAGAGGTTTAATCGCTAATCCCCGATGGAAGACTCGATCATGCAAGCAAGAAGGATAGTACGACGCCATCGGCCTCGCCGAGACGAGACGGCGCCACCTATTCAACGCCGTCTATGACACCGGAGAAAAACTGTTCCTTGGAACATGCGACAGTAGGGACGACGGCGCCGTCGGCATACTCGCCAGCACGAGTTTGTCCATGAACAACGATTCATTCGAAAAACTAACAACCCGAATCGGACGTTTACGATTAAAAAGATGTGGATCAATTCCGGCTTTGACAATCTTCGTCGTTTACGCCCCGACATCAAACTATGACGAAGAAGAAGTCGAAGCGTTCAATATCAACATGAAGAAGTTCTACAGAGAAGACCACACATTCTTTAAGGTCATCATTGGATATTTCAACGCTAAGATTAGACCAAGAAGAACGTCTGAAGAGCATAACATTGGGACCCAAAAATTAGAATGGAACGAACAGAGTGATCAGCTATCTGAGTTTATCATGGCGACCAAGATTCCATGGTAACTCGCAATTCCAGAAGCCTCACCCTCAGCGCTGGACGTGGAAGGCTCCCAATGGAAAGTACCATAACGAAATAGACCACATCATAGTAAAGAAAACATTTTGCCTAACCGATGTCGCTGTTGTCTTAAAATTCTAAACGTGATCAGAACATTGCCTCTTTCGTGCAAGATTCTACTCCTCGCGGAGAGGAGAAAAAGCCGCTAAATTCCAAAACCGAAGTCCGTGAACCACTGCAAACTGGGACTTATTCAATTCATTAGTCGGCTGTTGGGAAGATGCCGTTGTCGATAACATCGACGAAGAATACGATCGGCTCATTCAGCATCTTCGCGCTAGCGCTATGAAAGCTGAGAGTTCGAAAGCCACCAAGAGACATTTGTCTTCAGAAACTCTCGAGCTGATAAACCAGAGTGGAATCGCACGAGCTGCAAGCAACCGTGAACTAACGTCCGAACATGTAAAACAAAACAGACCGGCGATAAAAGATCTTAAGGAGAGAAGAGCACTAGTGACGGTTGAAGCTGCAGAGGGTGGGAAAATCATTCGCAAAGCTCACAGAAGCTTCTCAAATTCAAAGACCAAGATGGTTGCACTCCGAAACCCAGATGGAACAGTTACCGTTTCCAAAAAGACAATAGAGGAAATCATTCACAATTACTACTCAGATTTCTTTTATAGCCGGGTCCACCTTGTTCCTTGATGGTCGGCAATTACACCATCATCGCTTTGCCCATGATACCGTCCTCATAACACCAAACATTAGCCAGGTGGAACGAATGCTGGCCAACTTTGATAAACCATGTGGAAAGATTGGTCTTCGACTAAATCTCACAAAAACGGTGTTAATGAGAAATGATTTGGCTTCGTATGCCCCAATCACACCCAATGGAAAGAATATCTCCGAAAGCTCCAGTTACTTCTATCTATGTCAGGAAATCAATATGATGAACGATCTACTCCCAGAGTCGAGCAGAAGAAAACGAGCGGCTTGTGGAGCTTTCAAGAGCATCAAGGATGTAGTGAGGAAAACAAAGAACACCCGACTCCGTGCCCACCTTTTCGACTGAACGTCACTTCTTACTAGTCACTGCGTAAGCAGGGTGAAAATCACTCAGCTTTGTTGAACGTGCAGTCGAAACGACGATACTGGGAGTATCCCGTTCGACACGAGTAAGGGAAGAGATCCAAAGCTCCAACGTGTGTCAACGATCAAAAAATCCGAGATGCCGTTCTGTGCACCAAACAGTCGAGCATAGTGGGCTGGACACATAGTAAGAACGCGTATGAACGACAACCGATGGACAAGTGCCGTTGGTGACTGGATTCCTCGGGATGTCAAGCGTACTGCAGGAAGACCATCACCCCGATAGTCCGAGTTCTTCACGAATAGCCTAGAAGAAGGATATGATGCTCAACGAGTCCCTAGAGAGAGCAGAACCCAGTGGGCTACTCTTGCACGTGACAGGGAGAAATGGAGGATTTACTGGCGCCCGCACGAGTCACTCGATAATCAACACAACTACAGGTGATGCAGGCGATACAGGTGGCCTCTGTAGCCAACAAGTGCACATGTTGATCGTTTTCTGCTAACAGACAGCGCTTGTGTGCTACCAGAGATGTGCGAAATGCAGCAGTTATAGATGTCCTGCTTTGAACAAAGTCGTTTGTGCGATCCGCTCTTCCATTCCTCCGGGTTAGCATATTAGCAGCACAGTTTTCTGGAAGAATAGAAGCAGTGACTTAATACACCGGTGAGCCACCTAAAGTCGTTGTATATGCCAAATATGCATTCAATCACCTATGACCATGCTTGACAAAGGTGAGTGCATTAAGCATCCCGCACAGCCAAACACCTTTTGCTTTATCTATACCTTTACAGTAATTTCTAGAATGATACCCTGAAAGCTTACTGGATGCGGACAAAGTTGGTCAACACCATCCATACATTTTCTAGCGGCCGTCAGGTCGTTACAAATCGCAACCAAATCGTCAAATGATACGTCATAAAGCGGAAAACGAACGGACGAATCAAATTGCGATTTGACCGAAAGGTTGGAAAGTTTTCTGAAACTCAGCATATTAAAAAGACTAAAAAAGATCCTACTTAAATTACTTAAAACTTTACAGTTATCTCCGCGAAATCAGTAGTCAGAAATTTATTGTCTGTCCATACGAATTTTTTAATCTTTTACCACCCATGAGGACACAGCGGTCGGGAGCGCCCTGCGACACACACGTGAAATCAATCTCTGCTCCCACGGCCCACCAATCATTCCATCCCTCCAGAGTCGCCAAGTTGGTACGAAACTTGTCTGGGAGAAAAGCAGCACTGTCAGAATACATCGGTAGGCCACCGCAAGCCATTGTAAAGGCCAGATATGCATTTAATCACCTCCAAAGCATGCTTAATGAAGTCGAGTGCATGGCGCATCCCTCAGGGACTGATTAGCGCCGAGAGCTTTAACCTTTTTATTTTGCCACCCATACAAAAGTTGATGGATGGGACAAAGCTATTCTATAAGAGAAAAAAAACCTATGTGAGCAACTATTGAAGCTGAATACGTTGACAATGAATGATTGCGCATGTATTAGGAACTTGATGATTTTGGCACTAAATTTGATAATGGATGCCTTAAAATTTCTGTTTATACCAAAGCTTTATTCAAGAAAAAAACTTCTCTTTTCCTTTCTTCTAGAATTTTTTAATTTAAGTTTATCGGTTCTCAAATAACCTATTTATGCGAAAAGTTTTCTGCTTAGAAATCTCACTCTTGAAATCATGAATGAACTTAGTAACCGTGTAGTTTTCCTAGGACCGAAATCTACAACACAATCATTGTTTGCCACAAAATTCGGTCTCTCCAACGGAAATCCTAGAGTCGAAAAACTAAACCTATTCATTTATTGGCATTATAGGAAGCAGTTTTAATGACATGAACTCACTGCATGACGTTCTTGTGGCAAAAGCTTATGGTACGATGATCTCGATGTGGAATGCAGTACGGTGGATGGGTGGTGGTTGTGACAGCAAACTCTGTCGTGTTAAAGACCGCTTCCGTTGAGGTCTCGTTCATATTTTCGTCAATTCGCACAAGGTTTTCTCTTGCATTCTTCGTAATTGGTTGTGCTGAAGGAACAGAGATTTTCTCTCTGTCAATTGTTCTTTCACTTTCAGAAATGTCGGTAGTGAGTGCTGCAGCTGCACTTTGAGTGCTGGATAAGAATCTAGGCGGTGATTTTTCTCTTGTGCGTTCTGAAACGACAAAATACTAAAGGCAATACATCTACACAAAGGTTAGATTTTTCTAAAATGAAAGATCTGTTCACACGAGGAACCTTTTGGAACCAGCACATCTTCTCTTTAACCCGCATACTGCTTTTGTTTTTTTTCGGAGAAGGGGACTGGTCCAAGTCTTAAAGGTGCCATGCAATCTTTGGCGTGATCCCACGCATTCTGCCTAGTCCGTCGGAAAACCAGAAATTGGTGCAAGAATTCATTAGAAGAATAAGAACGTTGATTTCATAATGTTTCAACTTTTATCAACGGCCTATTCTCTTTCCATGACAGACGTTCTGATTTAGACTGCAGCTTTAGCTTAGGTTCAATCTGATTTCTGATTGTCAGACCATTTCCCTTCACAGGTGATTACTGATAGCATCACCGGGATAAAGAATTTGTTAATAAAAAGCAAAGAAAGGAGTTAGGTCAGTATGGTGGGCAGTGAGTGAGCCTCATAAGGATAGCCGCCATTTGGACGCCCACCCGAGGCCCCGAGTTCCACACATATATCAGCATCCTTGCTGATTTCATAGTTTGGAAGGTTTTCATAGATACGGACAAAAATGCTTTCATTTACCTCGAAACCACCTAGATTTAAAGAATGGGACCAATATGTGACGTATCTAAAGGAATTGGTGAATAAGATAGGCCTTATTCCTCATCTTTTATTGCTGTTTTGGCAACTTTTTCTGCTTAATTCCCTAGAAATCTGTGGCAGGAGAGATTCCACACTCTCTCACTGTGCGCAATGTTGAAAATCAAGTTGCTAATAACAACTCGTCCCAGTGACGGCTTTTGCAGAGTGTGAAGTGTAAAGGATTTCTCAGATGACGTTTAGTACAAAAGCTGTGCTGCGGAATCACTGACTCATTGTATAAGGTACCGCTAAAAGACCTTGTGGCAAAAGGAACAGATGGAAAGAACCTATGTTCGATTTTCACTTCTAACGTGAGCATTGAGAACAAGGTATATGGTAGCAACTGTTTTAAATGCTTGGTAGCTAATGAAACAAATAAAGTAATTGACATCAGTCGATGAAATTACATGCTATTTTTCTAGTTTTCTTCCTAATTCGTTCCTCCTACTTACTCGATACTTGGACGGCCCGTCTTCACTGGCTGTGCGGGTACCAGTACATTCTCCATTTTTCGGAGAATTGCTAGTTAAGCCATTGTCGTTTTCTGGAATCCCTAGGTTAGCCTAGACAAAGTCTGCCCCAGGTCTTCACCACTGTAGGCAGTTAGCCCTGTGGATGAGAGGAGATTTGCCACCATGCGACTTTGATACCAGGACGGTGGTGGATTCTGGTGTTGGTTTACTCTTAGCTAGGTTTCCTGATGGAAACGTCCGACTCGTTCTCAGTCTAGGAGACCCTGCCAGGCCGATGATTGCCCTCGCTGCACATTTGCAGCCCGACACCCAGGAACACCTCTCAGACACGATGAGGCGGTAAACCGTTGGGAAAATTCTCTCCTCCAACCAACAGAAATAGTGATGTGCGGTTTTAAAAAGACTTATAAAAAGAATCGAACGGCATACCTTTGATCCCCGAAGCACTGGGCTCGGACACGTTTTGCATGGCTACTGAAAGAAAAGTATAACTTATAGAAACCAACTCTGCACATAATGATCAGCACTCACTGGTGCTCTCATTAATGTCAGTGCCCTGTTCGTCCATAGTAAGAGCGTTTTCTGACATTTTTGCAGGATCTAAACATCTCTCATACAAAAATAAAGATTGATCGCAAATTTCTTAGCTGCATCACACCTTGTCTCCTCTGAGAACCATTTGGTGGTCGTAAATTCAACTCGACCTCTTGTGTCGCTTTAAAATAATCTGAAAATTCCTGATTGGAAAGCAGCTGGCTATCGGATACAAGGCTTAAACGTATTCACCTTCACGCTATACTATTCTTTCAGGCCTTTTCAAACAAGTGTATATTTTACTCCCAAAATAATTTAAGACGACATTTGACATAGTACGTGCCAACACATTCAACGACTTTTGTAAGGCCAAAGGTTTAAGTGAAAAAATTGTTAACAGTTGAAGGCGAGTAAGAAAATCACTTTACTCTGTTTTTAACAGTGCTATATGTTCCCTACACACTTGTTAAGAGCAGAAAACCACACAAAAACGGCTAAAGAAGGCAAAGAGGTTCACCTCGTCTGTATTGGTCGGTGAGGACTTTGGAGCAATTCAATTGTTGAAGCATGAACTGATATTCAGGTTTGCCTGGAATATATAACTATTCCACTGACTCTGTGGGAAATCGAGTATTCTGATTCACAGCGTGAAATTGCCATTAGCAAGCTTAATTCAGATTACGATCTCATGACTTACAACGCTGAAGTTAGTCCTTTGGAACACCAACTTTATCTAAATCGCTAGAGAAACTTCATCGGCTTTTCTTGTATATGTGAAATATTTACGGGAGACGCAAAAATATCAACGTGTAGTGACGCATGCCAAACTTTTACTATGTTCTTAAGGTAGGCACGACTTTATAAACTGCAATATTATGGAATATTGTACTTCACCAACCGTCTAAACATCCGAACTCCTCTATTGATTTCCTAAATAGTGCGCTTGCCAATTCACCACACTCGTTGCTCATACCGTCTTCAACGCATTGGAATAAATTCGCCATTCCATGACATTTTCCTTCAATAACCCAGTTAGATGCTTAGATATTGTAAATGCTCGAAACCAAAATATATGGCAATTATCTGGCGCTCTTGGATCGATGGAATAATCACTATAATTTTCTGCAACAATTGTGTAAAATCACTCACCAAGAATTGGAACTGGCAACTGGGCCAGAAGGTAGTGATAGCGTGTTAGCTGGACAAACGATTTTCGGAAAATCTTCACAAAAGGAAATTTACGAGTTACCTTCGTGTAGGTCTAAGAGCATTTTCTTGCTAACGGAAATTTTTTTTGGCGTTTAGGACCGTTGCTTGAATAATGACGGCCTTATCTTGAACTAAAGCAATGTACACGCCTATTGCCACTATTGAAAGCAGCACTGTCGGTTTAACAAGATTACTTTGCTGGTCTTAAAAGAAACCTTACCAGAGAGGCTCCTCATCGTCTTGTGAATTTTTTGTGGATCTAATAAGTACGATTTATGACGTTGGGACCAGATTTATCCTAGGATGGTGGCGTCCAATATTGATTTGCTCCTAAGCAGACTACTGGATGAAAGTTCCAATCTCCTCTATCCATTGGTTACCTTTGTTGGAGATGAACACAGTGCTGCACACGTAGTTTTATGTTCAGGAACACACCATTTGCAAGGTGGATGGAAGGCTGTTAGGGACAATTTCCGCAACTGTGATTAGAAATACATCAGCTGTGCAAAAATGTTATAGAGAAATTACTTCTCAAAAGGGTACAAAAGTATAGACATGGTTATTGAGCAATGGAAACCCTTCGCATCTTCTTTAAGTCATCTTTGAGTGCTGAAAACAGTTAGGATAAAGATAAGTAGTACTGAAACAAGCTATAAAAGCTGATTTGGAAGTGTATCTTTAATCATTCGACTTCAAAAGCAGTCCTTATTGTCTCCCAAAGGTCTGGCTGAGGGTCCGAATTTTCTCTGGGATGAAATCATCTCACTAACAGCGAAATAGAAGTCATTTTGTCTTCCACAAGCAGGAACCATAGTGCTTATAAAGGGGATCCTTCGAAATGTTTCAAAAAAATTTCTACGATTCTGAAATTCCATACAATTCATCTCCTATTGACATGACACTTTTTATCTTTTTTATTTGGTCCATTGTCACGTCTCCTGTGCGGATCCCAACGCATCTCACATTCAGTTCGTTTCCTCGCATCCACTGTCCACGAAGATCTTCCAAAGTTCATGTGTGGCTTCGGTTGCTGCTTGAGGATTTCCACTTCATCTTCGTCGTCGTAGAATGCTGGTCGTGCAATTCTCTTTGGGGTCCTGAGATAGCCGGGTTTGACTGTTCCCAACTGCATTAAAGAGAGTAATTCTTTCCCAGACAAGTGCGGTATCCAGTTCCTCGACCCCGGAGGGACGAAAGGCTTTGTTGGCCGGGAGCGAAATCGAACTAGCACCATGCTCGTGATGACGGAAATCACTGCTGCTGTGCTATCCGCTCCGATTTCTGGCTCCAGTACATTTAACTGAGAAAATCTTTCACGTTTTACGAAAGATTTTCGTTCATTGGAGCAATTATGGGTATTTGACAGTTTTTGTAATCTCTTCGAAAGATATGACATAACGTAATAAATAATTGTAGATCCTTGCTAAAATAGTATAGAATAACCAAGAAATAAGAACTATTTGAAGAAAACAGTACCGCCAGTTTCGAAAGGATCCGGCATAGAGTAGATGTGTCTCCAACAGTTTCGCGACTTCGAAAGCGTTTGGAAAATGCACGAATAGTTGTCTGAAATGAAATGAGAAACAACTCACATTTGTGGTAATCAGATATGCTTGCCGAACGTGCGAAGAATCCTTGAAGAAATAATCTCTAACAATGGCACGGAAGTATTTCTCTGGCTGTCTAAGTTTTTCGACTCACCACAAAAGTCTTGTCTCATAAAAATCATTAACATTGGCTAAACGTGTAACTTATCTGCCGCCCATTAATTTCTTTCCATGGCAAGGTATTTTGCGAAATGCAACAACAGTGATGCTGAAGTATTTATATTGGACCCCAGGTCAGAATGTACTACGATTACGCTTTCTTGGGGCGCATGTAGCGAGTTGCGTTAGTTAGAGACTCTCTCCAGTACACATGGGATCGATACCATGTCCCAGGCTCACCGAACTTTCCATCCCTTCGAGCTCGGCGAATTGGCATCAGACTTGTGTGGGAGCATAAGAGCACTGGTTCGTTACATCGATAGGTCACCGCAAGTCATTGTTGTAGGCCAGATATGAATTCAATCACCTTTAACGATGCTTATTGAAATCGAATACAGATAGCATCCTTCAAGGATTGGTCAAAGCGGGAAGCTTTGCTCTTTACACTTTCTCTTTTACCATTTCTGGAAAATGATGTGCTTCGCACGAGACTACTGAGGTCCTCGTTCTGCCTTTCTTTCAGCCAGTCTTTTTACAGTAACGGAGAGAAAGCAGAAGAAGGACCTCAGTAGTGCTGTGGCTAACAGGTTTGTCCCCGGAAAGGGTAGTCGCTGTTTGATCTTTCCTGGGATTCTAGTTTGCAAATTTCTCAACATCATTATGGTTGTACTTCAACATTCGCTCAGCTATCTCAGCATTTTGAAATATAAAGTGGCTCAGTCAACGCTGGTAGAATATACGAATATGATCAAACTATTTGCCTGAGACGCTATCTTTTATTCAACCTAGGCATGAATGATCAATGGACTTTATTTCATTAATAAATTAATCATCAAGAGGTCCCATTGAAAAGGAACCTACCTATCTTTCTATTTATCACAATCCCTACATAGGACTTTTGAAGCTGGGTAGTCGTCTATACGCTAGACAGGAAAAAGCATCTTTCAATATCTGAATGCTAGTTCTTCGGGCAATCAGCTACTTTCCTTTTCTTTTTGAAAACTAGGAGAATTGCGCCGCCAAAGGCACAGACGCGTTAGTATTGAACATCGATGCATGAATTACATGAATTCGAAGTTTGAATGCTCACATGAGGACCCATTCGATTACTAAAATGTTACAAGTAGCGTAATACAAGTTCCTCTTTCTCTTCTAAACTCTGCTTGACATTTCTATGAAATTGTCATGTTAGTCCTCGTCATTCCATACATATGTAATCTGCATTCATCCGTTATGAGACATTCCTAAGCAAAAAGTAGGCATAAAAAATAGAAAGGTGGTTTCCGATTGTCATTTCTACCATCTTATCTGTTTTTAAGGAGCTTCGTCCGTTAAGAATTTTTTGAAACTCATTTATAAGGACTAAAAATAGAGCGCCACATAACAATTAACCCAATCAGCAATCAAGAATGTACCATGCATTTGATTCATCAAGAAATGCAGAGGTGATTAAAAGCATATATGGCCCATACAATGACTTGCGGTGGCCTACCAATGTGTCGAGTCAGTGCTGCTATCCTCCCAGACAAATATCATCCCAGTTTGCCTGCCCGGAGCGATGGAAGGACCGGCGAGCCCGGATCGTGGGATCGAATTAACATTCTGTTAAGACTATCCTTAAGTAGGATACTGGGCATCGGAATAAAGAAATAGAAGAAAATATTTGGATAATTTACTTTACACCACCGAAACCACATATTGTGTGGATTTAATCATTACTTGGGCCCACTTCATTTTCTCACATACATCATTCGCGATGTGTTCATTTGCCAGTAGGATCAACTGATGCTTGAAGATTTGTTACCTTTCTTATAAATCTCGTTGAATGTTAGTGGAGCTTCTACCTACAATTATAAGATAGCAGCGCTAAGGTGTTCCCAGAACTTCTTTAGAGACACTCGTCAACTTTTGTTGATTATAGGAAGGAAGGTGTTCCCAGACGCGTATGGCAACAATTTTCCAACCAGGAGAAACGATAGATTTTCTTGATCTGTGTGGGTTTGAAATGCAACTGCGCTATCCGTTCCTCAACAAGTAACTTGTTATTTTAAAGTCACTTCAAGCAAATATTCATTGAAGAAAACTGAAAAAAGCGGCGTCGTTCTTGAAAAACAATCGGCTTCGGCATACATCGAGCAATTTCTGTTAAGCGCTCCATTCGTCGAACGAAATTAAAATAAGATTATGAGTACACGGTAGCTGAAGTATTCTGTCCTGTTGTAAACAGGGAAGTCACGGCTAGCAATCTGCTGATATTTTTTTCAATGTCAGCGTTTCTTTTAAATTCTCTTAACTTTATAAACGACAAAAAGCTTATTCCTTAAGGAAAACCTTTGCGCAGCATTTTCCGTTTGAATATCAGTGGTTCGTTAGAAATTCTATATGGAATGGGTTGGTTATCCCAAACGCATAAAGTCATCAGCACAAGTAGGACAAAAGAATCTGAACTGCCACGACCGACTTTCTATTAACCTCGGCATTGATCAAGTGATTTTGTTCGTATTTTTTTTGAGCAAACGCGAGGTGTTATTGTTCTTTGTTCACGATTAAGCTGACGTTTCGGCGAATTTCGCCTTCTTCAGAGCCGCTTTCTATGAGGTCTCCACTAAGTATAAGTAGTATACTTATAGTAGTATAGTAGTATATAGTAGTATTACTAGTAGTTACTAGTATATAGTATATATATATAGTTACTAGTAGTACTACTATATACTACTGTACTACTATAAGTATACTACTTATACTTAGTGGAGGCCTCATAGAAAGCGGCTCTGAAGAAGGCGAAATTCGCCGAAACGTCAGCTTAATTGTGAACAAAGAACAATAACACCTCGCGTTTGCTCAAAAAAAAAAAATACGAACAGAATCTGAACTGATATTCTTAGCTGATGCGAAGTTGGTATAGGTATATAACTGCTTGTGCTGAGGTTTAGTCAGTCTTTTAAGTTATTAAGAGAATTTAGATGTTGCGAAATATAACTTCTATAATTCTGAAATAATTATTTATGTTACTATTATTTCGTGATATGTTTTATTTCGCAACATACCCCTACCATTAAAAAGAATAGGCTGTAAATAGGAACGCAAACATTGTGACCATACGTATAGCCTCAACTTAACTGGGTTCAATGCCGATTTGGGCTCTCCAGATCAATCCCGTTGATGGGTGATTGCTGATGGCCGAAATCAATAGAACCAGCTGAGATACAAGCGAAACGAAGGGCCCGCATGGTGTGGTGGTGAACGCGTTACTCCCCGGAAAGGACAATAGCGCGTTCGTTCCCCACCGCAGACACGTGCGGTCCGTAGTTTTGCAAATATCTCAGCATTATAGAAGTTATATTTCGCAACATACTCTGCCATTAAAAAAGAATAGACAGTAAATAAAAACGTTTAGAAATTAGACGTGTTTAAATAATTGAGCCTACAAAAATTTGCTATACAACTTTTATTCGGCTAACGTTTCGATGTCTTCGTCTTCATCAGAGCCGATGATCCGAGTCCACCGTTGTTCGTATTCTCGATGTGGGAATGTGTTTACCATTACTTGCAAAGTCTAAGAAAGTTCTCCCCACTTGCGAAGAAGGCGAACAACTGTGGACCGTTAAGTCGGATCATCGGCTCCGATGAAGACAAAGAGGTGGAAACGCTGGTCGAATAAAACTTATGTAACAACCTCGTGTAAGTTCAGCAATTTAAACGCATGCGGATTAATCATTCCGAGGTTAAAAATGTCAGCTTTTGAAACATTACCATTTTGCTTTTTGTTGGCTGAATGAATCGGGGTTGGAAGAGCATAAGCAAGCAAACTAGCTCACCTAAATAAGCGGGACCGAGTTCCCCACAGAAGAATTTCAGATGACTGTCGATGAATTGCACAAGTGAAATTGTAGCACACCTGAAAGTATTCAGTAGTAACAGAAGGCATTTTTTATATGAACAAAACAGTGCGTTTTGTTTTTGATAATATCGTAGAGGAATTGTAGACAAAAGTGTACAGGAAAAAAATTAGTTGTCACCCAGCTATTTTTCAGTTGGACTTTAGCTTTAATTTATGAGACGAACCAATGTAGCCAGTAATAACATTCATACTAAAGCAATGGAAAAGAGCCTCTATTTACAAGACGTAGAGGGTAAAATAAAAGGTTAAAGGATAAAATAAAAGAATCGTCGGTTCGATCTTTCTGGTCTTTGGCAATGAAAAACTTCCTCTCAGTAGCCACAGAGTTTGAAGAGTTTTGCACACTGTAGGCGAGACCTTGTCCTACCGTTCTTAGCATGAATGAGTGCATAATATCTTTAACTAGCTTTCGGCTAGATATAGAATGAATACACAGGGTGGAGTGGAAGAATCGTGAAACACGCTAAATTGAATATAAACACTATTAAACTGTCCAAAAATAAAAAATAAAGGATAAAGCTCTCGGCGTTGATCAATCCCTGGTGGATGCACCATGCTTCATTAAGCATCGTTTAGAGATGACTGAGTGCATATCTGGCCTTTACAATGACTCGAGATGGCTTACCGATGTATCGAGCCAGGATTGCTACCCTCCCAGAGAAGTCTGGTAGCAATTTGCCGAACCTAGAGGGATGGAAGGCTTAGTGGGACATTAGCGCGGGAATCGATTTCACGTGTGTGTTGCAGAGCGCCTCCGACCATTGCGCAACACGCGCTCTTTTTCATAAAACGTAAGATGAAAATTCAAATTCTCCAACAAAGAGTTTACGTATAATAAGAACCAAAGCCTAAAAGGCTACTCCTTACTTGCTTGATGTCTTCTCTGATAAACAAATGTCCATTGAGAGAATATAGCTAGAACATAATTCGAGTATGGCATTTCTCTCATAAAATGGTACCTGAACACCACGGACTTTAGGCTAGATTAATCCGATATTAGACATCTTTTAGGACAAAATAATGTTATAAAAGAAAATGAAGTAGAAAAGATGTCACTGGAAAAAGAAGATCTCGTGCGTCTGTTTCGTGTTCTCGAATTTTCTCCCATACGTCAAGGAATGGATGAAGGCACCGTTCCACTGCCGCCTGTTCCACACAATCGGTAGCTAAAGATCATATTATTTGCAGATTTGTACTGGCCCAATGATAAGTGCTTTTTAGAGAAAATATAATCGTAGTCGTCTAAACGTTTCTGGATCCCGGATCGATCTAATTGAGTTCGTCCTTTACCCTTCGAAATTTCGTTTTACATTTTCGTTGCTAAAACGGATAGCCATTTAACTGAAGTCCCGTTCCCCAAATGCGAATAGAACTATTGACATAGAGCACAGCGGTTTTTTACTTTCTCTACAAGCATTTCGCCCGCTTTGGTATTTCCTATGTCATTATGAAAAAGGAAGAACCATGATGTTATGTAGTCTCAAAACAGTTATCATCTTACATCGTCATTGATGGTTAGAAGCCCAACTTAAACAACTTAAGCATAAAAGCATAAATTACAAAGTAAGTCTTAAAAAAATCGGGTTTCTTTTGGAAGGTGATCGTTTTGTTACGAATGGTTTGCTTCACCTTCACCCAAACTTTTTATTGAAACCCAGCGGGCCGAAGAAGTTATTAGTGAATTTAGTTAAGTATTCCGTAGCAGTAGAACAACGGAACAAATAAGAAGAAAATAAATGCAAAAAAAAGCACATAAGTGACTTAAAAACAATTAATTTCTGTAAAAGAACTTTAGGCAACTAATATAGGTATGTTGTCCAAGCATTAGTTAAGACTACAACTGGACGAAATACTGTGAATGGCACTGAGTAATACCGCTATTTTAGTTCGCATTAAAAACTCACATTCTGTAGAAGCTCGAGTGAAGATCACCAATATCCAGAAAATCCTCATAATAAGGTCACACATAACACACCTTGACAAAGCTGACTTAACACCGTCGACAGTGAGAGTAGTCGTCACGCCCATCAGCGGGAACGGATCTTTCTGCTCGCCGGGAGGTCCCACAATCCGTACTGTTCTTCTCGCTCACCGATAAGTCGGTTACCGGTGTTAGGGTCTGCCACTTTGGAAGGGCGCAAGTTTTATCACAAAGAACAAATTATCCTTAATTTTCATAGGACGACACTTACTGTAATAAATCAATACCTAGAAGCCTACACTGGCTTTTGTTTTTCTCAGCCTTTAGCAAAGGGTAAAGGGTAAAACTTTTGGTAATTATTTATCTCTGGGCTATGCACAACGCGCTCGACTTTATCAAAAATACTGCAAATAATTGGGTGAACATTTGGCGCATGCAATAACTTACTATGGCCAACCGTTGTACCACTTCAGCGCGGCTATTTTCTATTTTCCGAGACAAGAGTATTTTACAGACCATCGAGTGATGGATGTGGTTTGGTGAGCTTGGGATCCAGTATCGAACAAGCGATCGGTTGACTGTGTACAGCAAACCACTTCTGACTAGTGTGCTGCAGGCGCCAGTCCTTAGCACGATTTTTAAAAAACTTTTGACCGGAAATACAGTGGTTAGCAGATTTTTCTTCCTCTCTATTGCGCCGACATTTCGTAGAGTACTCATAATTACTAGAAGTCTTCAGTTAGAACGGAGAAGGAACAGAAAAAAGAGCAAACTATGCCTTCAGACTTTATCTTCTAACAGTTTTGAGCACCTGGAAGTTGCATCCACATCCTTCGATATATTTTTATTCCAATTTGCGAAATAAATTCTAGTTTTCACAATGACACAGAGCCAACTGATACCATAAGCAAAAAAAAATATTTGAACGAAGTTCAGGTCGTTCACCGAATGCTCCCCCTCGATTTAAAAATCCCCCCAAAAAAAAATTACAAAAAAAACACAATGTTTATCCTTCCACTTACTGCCCACTTTTTATTTTTCCAGCAAAGTAAAATAAAAATAAAGAGCAATAGTATAAAGGATAAAGCTTTCGGCATTGATCAATTCCTGAGGAATGCGCCATGGATTCGACTTCGTTAAGTATCGTTGGAGGTGATCGAATGCATATCTGGCATTTACAATTGCTCGTGGTGGCCCATCGATCTATCGAGCCAGTACTGATATCTTCCCAGACAAGGCTACTACCAATTCGCGGACCCCGAAGGGATGGAAGGTTTCGTGGGCCTTGGGCGCAGGAATCCATTTCACGTGCGTTTCGCAGAAGCGCCATCAACCACTGCGCCACACCCGCCTTTTCTCATCTGAAATAAAAACAGATGAGAGTTTGTGCTTAAGAATGGCAAACTTCGTCATAAATCTTCCGTATCAGCTTCGGTCATCAGCAAAACGGCTTTTTGTGCTCCCCGTTTTTTATTTCAGATAAGATTATAGCACGTTCCATTTCTTTTCGTTAAACCGTTTTCGCTTCGGGTCACTTCTACAACTATTAGGTCTTTTTTATGATATAGTGGGTTTATTATAGAGCTATTCAAATAAAAAGCTTCGATAGACCTCATTTTCCGTTTCGCAACCATAACACAATTATGACTGGGCGATTGTGATTCACATCGAGCCAGTTTTAACAGAGACGAGCACTGGAAGCGAAAGTCATAGTGTGAAGTCAGGTATGACAACATTATCAATATTTTAGTGTCACTCTGTGAAACAGCACACATTACCTTTGACAACGAAGCTTAAGCTTTTTCGGAACGCCTGAAATGGGCACGTTTCTTCAGCTTCATCCATTCCAGTCACTTTCTAACAGAAATATTCTAAAGCTTTCGCTGACACATGGAGATCTCATTCCTTACTTTTTGAGATACACGGATATGAATGGACAAGGCATAAATTGTCTTCACATCACAATACAGAGTTTCTGCTGTTTTTTCCTGCCGAAATTTTCAAGTCTATGTAATAATAAAATTTATGAGACGGGTAAGAAAGAGATGGAATGGAGCAAAAAACCCTAAACCGAGGTTTAACCGAGGCCTTCAATGCTTTTTAATTATGAAAACAAGGAATCTGCATCCTAGGTTATGCAAGTCTTATAATTCGAACACTTTTGAGTTTAGAGATATTCTGATTTTTGGCATAAAATTTCCCAGACGAAGGGATTTGTTGAGGAAGAAATAACTCAAACTTCATCTAGCTCTCTCTCCTGCATGGACCACCACAGGCATAGTTTTCGTTCGACATTAGTTCGCCTATTTAGGCAAAACCTACGAAACAACGCTATTGATAGTGGGAGTGTTTTCATTGTTTTCGCAATCTCTATACCTGTCATGTGTGACCTCGTTTAATAACACCAACTGCAGCGAATTATCGTTCACTTATATGGAAACAGTTCAGAGAAAACAAAGGCCTACAATTCCCCATGGAAAAGTTCATAACGCTGTGATTTGGTAAGCATGTTATAGTTCAACAAAACATAAATTGGCTCATATTGGCTCAATTCAACAGTCTACAGCTTTAGCTGGTTTTGTTTCACTGAAACTATACCGAAGATTCGACTTGTTACATTGATATCTATCGGATCGTCGAAAAATTGCGGTGTCATCACAAACATTCCTGTCATCCTTTGAATCCGTCTCACAAGGGAGTAAAGTGCTTCAATCTGCATGCTTTGGCTGCTGCCTAATATCTTGCTATTTCAAAACGTCCAAGCACCGTTATCTCTGGTTTGCATAAGATATCGGGCGCTACCAACATTTATTTAAAGAAGCAACTAAGACGGCATGTTGACATGATCGTTCATAGGCTGTGAACAAGGCAATACTCCCAGAAACGTTACCATTTGTGGCGTAAGTGTCTTATATTAGGAACATCGTGCTACCTAGTCCAGAACACGATATTTTAGCACGCAAATTTAGTCTAGAAATAGGAATAATCACCTGCATCACCTGTAGTCCCGTTGATCGACGGGTGACTTGAGTGGGCGCCACTAAATATTACAACTTTCCTTGTCGCCTGCAAGAGTAACCCAGTGGTTTCTACTCGCTCTAGGAACTCGTAGAGCATCATATCTTTCTTCTAGGCTCTTCGTGAATAACTCTGATCATCGGGTCAGTGGTCTCCATGCAGTACGTTTGACATCCTGAGGAAACCAGTCACTAACAGTTCTTGTCCATCAGTTGTCATTCATACGCATTACGTGTTCGGCCCACTTTTTCTTTCACTGTTTGGCGTACAGAACGGCATCTTTGATTTTTTTATCGTTGACGCAGGTCGGAGCTTCGGATCCTATCCCTTACTTGTGTGAAACGGGATACTCCTAGCATCATGCTTTCAACCTGGCTTTCAATTAAGCTGAATGATCTGTCATCACGCTTACGCAGCAACCAGGTGTCTGACGCATAAGTTAGGGCAGAGGTTGCCGTTGAGCCGAAAAGGTGGACACGGAGTCGGGTGTTCTTTGTTCTCTTCACTACATCCTCGATGCTCCTCAAAGCTCCCCAAGCCGTTCGTTTGCTTCTGCTCAGTTCTGGCGGTAGGTCGTTCAACATGTTGATTCCCAATCTAAATAGACATAACTGGAGCATTCGGAGATATTCGTTTCGTTAAGCATGAATGGGGCACACGAAACCACTCTGTTCTTTATGAACATCGTTTTTGTGAGATCTAGTCGAAGACCAGTCTTTCCACAGGCTTTATCAAAGACCGCACATACGTTCCGCTTGGCTAATGTTTGAAGGACGACGTCATCAGCAAAGCGAAGATGATGTAACAGCCGACCATCGATTTTCACTCCAATGTTATCCTATTCCAATGTTCGCATGACGTTCTGGAGGTTCGCGGTAGATAATTTTGGCGAGATGGTATCGCCTTGTCTAACTCCTGATTTGACGTCGATTTTAATATGGTTATAGAATGGTGAAATCTTGTTTTTGAGATTTTCGTCACAGTTCATGGAGAATCTTTATGTACTGAGTAGAGACTTCTTGACTGTCAAGGGCTTCCATGACTGCTATCGCAATTGAGTCAAAGGCCTTCTGTAAAACGATGAAAGTAGGACAGAGCGGTCCTTTGTACTCTCGCGATACTTCAATGAGCATTGTTATCGTGTGAATGTGGTCCACCGTACCAAATCCTTTTCGAAACCCTGCTTGCTCATATGGCTGTCCTTCGTGCAGTGTTCTGTCAATCCAGTCTAGTGACTCGAGTGAACAGTTTGTTGACGGCATAGCAGATTGGGCGATAGTTGCCGATATAGTGCAAGTCACCCTACTTGAACAATAACACGGTCTTACTGGTCTTCCACTGAATAGGGACACTGCATTCAGACAGGTAACGTGTAAAGAGCCGAGACTTTGTGTTTAAGAGGGCCGGCGGAAGGTTCTTCAAGTGTTCTGATCTTATCCTGTCCGGACCTGGTGCTGTTCGATTTTTCGCCGACGAAATGGCATGTCGGATTTCGGAAGGGAGAACCGGTGGTACAACACATCCATCCTTTTTCCGCATGAAGAGAGGTGGACTTGGCGCTGTCGAAGAGATTTGAGTAGTATTTATGAAGGATTTTATCCATTGCCTTTCTGGACTACTCCGTCTGGACGTAAGAGTGCAATCATTTTGATCTTGGAATTGGCGAAGCTTCGGTGGGCTTTGCTAATGCTTTTCCCAGCCTCTGCAGCTTCGACCAGTACTGCTGCTCTTTTCTCTCTAAGATCTTCTTTTATCACCTCTCTGCATTGTTTTGCAAGTTCGGACGTTAGTTCGCGGTTGCCTGCAGTTCGTGTGATTCCACGCTGGCGTATCAGCTCGAGTGTTTCTGGAGACAGGCGTCTCTTGGTGACTTTCGAACTCTCAGCTTTCATAGCGCTAACATGAATATGTTGAATAAGCCGATCGTATTCTTCATCAGTGTTATCGACAACGGCATCTTCGCAACAGCCGAATAATGAATTGAATAAGTCCCTGTTTGTGGTGGTTCTCGGACTTTGGTTTTTGACTTTAACGGCTTTTTCTCCTTTCCGCGAGAAATAGAATCTAGCACGAAGGAGACGGTGGTCTG